ATAAAAAAACGATTTTTATGATAGAGAAAATTTTATTAGTTAATGATAAATCGTAAGAACAACACAAGTTAAATAATTCCTAGACAAAATACATAAGATTATTAGAAGACTCAAACTCAGGAGTGATGGAGGGGCGAATCATAGTTGACTCAAAGCCAGAACTATGTGCTGCTGCTATTTTATAATTAATCTTCATTTATTATAAATCATTTAAAACTATTTTTATTTTTCAAAGTTGTTTAGCTCCAGTGTTATTTTGGTTACCGCCCAGCTGCCTCAAATTTTGGCAAATACATTTTTGAAAAGCCAATAAATAAAGCATATCTTTTTGTAATTATATTTGCGGTATAATTTTAAGATTTTCTTACTGATTTGTCTAAATTGGCTACCATGTTTCGTGAACAACATTTTCCCATTCATTTTTGGTTGGGCATCTAAACTAATTCTTACTACTTTTTCGTGTATCTGGGTTTTGCGCAACAACTCTGCACTAATTTTCAATTAAATACCACAGAAATCTTATAAAACTAATTAATATTTCTTATTTTTATTAATATGAATTCAAATATTACATTTTATTTTATTTTTGATTTAATTTAATTTAATTTATTTTCTTTTTTTTATATTTTATTAGCAGCAGTAGGATAGCTGCTAAACAAATCTACATAAATATGTGAAATATAATTTACATTACTTGAATTTAATTACAGTTTTATTGTTATAAACGCACAACGCGCTCAACTATTGACACAGCATGATAAAGTGTGTAAATGTAAGTGTGTGTGTGCGTGTATGTGTGTGGTGTGTGTGTGTGTGTGTGGAATGCATGGCCAACGGCACGTATACGCAATAACACCAAAGTGGCATATACGCGAAATATATATATGTGGCAACAGTCAGTGGTGCAATAATAGTGTGGCACTACGAGAGAGCAAGAGGGAGACGGAGAGTTAGGGAGATTGCAGTAATGCAGAGGGGCAGACGGTAAGAACTAACGCTGACCCAGTTTGACTTTGGCTTCATAACTAATTCACGCCCAAAAACATACACATATAAACTCGGCTCGGACTACGGTCGAGGTACATAAAGCATCCTGGTTACACACACGCTGCCTTCTGGCACCTGTTCACACACACACACACACACACACCTACACACATACACACGTCACACACACACACATAGCCAGGACTCGCGACGCAGCATTCGAGCTTGGGTCGGTATCGGGTGTTGCAATATAATTAAGGTTGAATAACATAGGAGTATTGTGTGGCAAGTGTGTGTTGCAAGTCTGTGTGTGTGCAACGTGCAGTGTCTATTAAGTTGAAAATTGATGTGATTTGGTTCCAAGGCACTTAAAGTTGCGTTAAGTGCACATGAAGCAAAATTGATAATGCTAGATAAATATTACAAAATAAACACTCGAAGATAAAAAATAAATAAAAAGGGCAAGAAATGTAAACATCTGGAACTGAATGAAAATTTTATTCTGATTAAAATCATACGAGCATAAAAATGTATGTCGAGCATAGTTCGATTCAAACTGGAACTGTGAGAGGCTGCATAGCTGGTGAAATGCGGTGGGGTGGGTCAAAGGTACTTCCTCTTCCTTGGCCACTAAAAGAAAAAATTCCAATTCAAATGTGAATGCGAATTCAAGCTACTTCTGTGTGTGCAAACTCAATCTAAATGCTATAAACTGCAAGACGTACTCAACGTTGTCGCCGACATCGTCCTCGTCGAGACGAGTCTGGCAAGTCGTCTGACAGGACTACACTCAAAAAAAAATTCTTATAAAAACTAGAAAGTCTTTCTTGTTTGAAGGTATAATTTCTAAATATATGAAAATATTTTTCTAAGAATTAGAGACGCTGGACCTAAATCGACAATCCCAAAAATAATGTGATGGAATTTTTAGAAATATTTCGTATTAGTAAGAAATCTAAAGAGAAGAAATTATATTTCTCATTTTTATCCCGTAAAATCGTACGTATTTTCAAATTATGGTAAAAAAATTTGTTTATAAACAATGTAAAATATATTTGAAATCTTGAAATGGAAATGTTTAGTATTTAATATAAGTAAATTAGGCATATTTTTTCTAAATATTAGAAAAACTCACATTGAAATTAAGAAATTGTAAGCATGGTTTTTAAAAAGAAACAGCATTTAATTTTTGTAATTTACTTTCATGATAATAAGGATAGAAACCTTTTGCCAATTTCTAAACTGCACTGAGATTATTTCTCTGAGTGTAAGGACTTGAACGGACGATGTTGTGTTGTGGACTTTTGCCATACGTCGATAAAAAGGCATACGGAAATTTTTATGTCCCTCAACGTCAACCTCATTGCAAATTGTTATGTATGTTGGGTATGTTGTATATATATGTGTGTATGTGTTTGTACTTTTACGGCACTTTTGCAGTTTTTTTTACCGGAACAACCAATCGATATAGTAGTGCCATCAAAGTACAACGTCTTCAATTCATTTTTTAATGACTAATTTTGCTGGCCAATTTAATTGGCTTATGTTTATATGTATGTATAGTATTTTTGCCCCGCTATTGTTCCCATTCAATCAATCAGTCAGTCAATCAATCAGTCAATCACACTTACTTACTATTGCTTGTCACAACTTTCAAGCATTTTGCATTCCCCGTTGTCCATTTTCCATTTTTACAGCGACAAAAACGAAGCCGAAACGGAAGTGAATCGATATTTATGATTATTTAATAAACTCAATTATATGTCCAGCCATTGCCTTCTCTGTCTGTGTGTGTGTCAGGTTATTGCTCTCGCATCCCCTTTGTAGTGGTTGCCTGAGCTCCGGCCACATTCAGAATGTTAGCTGGCATTTTTAATTTGTTGCTAATTTGACATTTATATGTGTACAAAAACCCAATGAAAGTCCCATTAAATCATGGGTCATTGAACACAATTTCCTCATATTACAGTTTTATATATTCACATACCCATTAAAGTAAAAAGAGTATAATGGTTTTGTGAAAAAAGTCTGTAGCAAGCCGAAGCAAGATTCTCCGACTATAGACTGCAAATCAGAATATTATATATATTTCCTGTTTATTTATTTAAATTTGTTTGCACTTTATTTTTAATTTAATTTAATATATTTTTTACTTTCTTTTATTATTGTTGTATCGACTAACTTTGGTTGACATTCCAAGTAATAATGAAATGCAATAAAAAGCCGCACAGCCTGTTTCGCAAATACCTATACAAAGCGATTTCCGATACAATTTTACAGTTAGCCACTTCTAATTGATATACACATACAACTGCAAAAAATTCATCAAGACCTAATAAGAATTAAACAAGATTTATTTATTGTTTTTTTTATATATTTATTATAAATCTTCAGAGGAAGAAGTTTTATTTATTTTATTTATAAATTATTTATACATATTTATTCTATTTATTATATAACAATCAAGTATTATTTATTTCAGTTTATTTTTTATATATTTATTCTCATATTGATCTCATTTCTATCAGCATGTGGTTACAGGGTATCTGTTTTTCCGAACTTTTTATGCATCTCAAAGATTCCTGCAGTTTGGCCAACAACTTTTCGCAGGCTTAAAATATTTGTATAGCCAGAGAGGATAATAAAAATAAAAAAGCGTTTAATTGCATTGCAATACAACCCAGCCATAATCGATGAATTTTGAGTTGCATATTTAATTGGAATGCTTCTCTTCAAATAGAGTCTCGATTGATGTTGCAAGAGCTCGTTAGCTATGCCACAATGCAACACAAATGTTGCAGCAACTCGATGGAGTGGCATGTTTATTTACTGTGTGTCCCCGTGGCCAATTGTAAAAAAATTGTGTTCGCTATTTTCTGTTTTCTGTGTTCTGTTTACGGCACGTAGCAACGCTCAGCAAACATTTAAACAAGCCAACTTGCAGTGTGCAGGATAACAAACTTATTCAAACAAACACGCACACACACACACACTGAGACACATCTCTTCCTTGTCTGCTACCACACAATAGAAGGAAACAAAACCTCAATTCAAACTGAATATAAATTGTTTTACAGCTGACATTTGCTTTGCATTTCAAATAGTTCGGTGGCTTTAGACAGACACACAGATAGACAGACAGACAGATAGACAGACAGATGTAGACGACTCTGCCACTGCTCGAGAACTTCTTGCAACACTGCCACGTACCCAGTGCTTGTCAAACTGGGTTTGGTCTGTGCCCACTTCCCATCGCTGGCTTGAAAGGTTATGGTGTTAATTGGAGCATAAATGATGGCAACTGCCGCTATCTGCTTTCCACCTGATACCTATAAGTATTATTTGCCACATGTGGGTGTGGCAAATGGCTTTTTAGTGCAACCACTGAAGCGTTAAGCATTGTTTACCAATATTCTGCATCGACTATAACATAGTGCAGTGGCGTTATATTTTTAGTAACACTCTAAATAGCAGAGGTCACCATAATGAAAATGAGAAATTATATTACTTTAATAGGAGCTTAGTTCAGTTTGGTTAAAGTTAAATTAAAGTAGTTAGTGGATTTGTCAGCTTTTATACTACTTATTTGTTAAGAAGTTAAATTGTATTTTATTCTCTATTCTGTATATAAAAATAATATTGAAAATAATGTTTCCCGACTCCATCAACTCTATCGTTTTTCTATTGAAAGTAATTGAATTTAAAAACTATTTATTTCTCATAGATTTTATTTAAATATAGTCTAAGTTTTAAGTTGACTATTCTAAAGCTATATGTTTTTCTTGCCAATCACAAAAACTATATAGACTTGCCAGCTTTCATAATATATAGTTGATATGAAATTAAGTTGTGTTAGGTATTCTGTTCTCAACAAAATCTGAGTCAACATTAAAAAGAATGCCTCACGATTCCGCACCAAACCTTGAAGTTTATGTATTCTTGAAGTCTTGTTTTTTTTTAAATGCCAGTCATATTCCTGATTTAGCTCTAGCATTATAGAGACCAACACTTACCGGATCGTCCGATTGTTAGATTGAGATCTGTTTCCAGGGCTGTGGTGGCCGATGATAATGACTTGTCGGTGGGTTGGGCCGGTGGTGGCAATGGCAGCGGACCCACCGTCGAGGTGGTTGTCAAATCGCAGCATTCCCGCTCGGGAAACTCACTGCACCTGGCTAGGTGAAGGGCGCAACCGAGCAAAGTGACCCAAACACTGAGGCAACACGAGAGAATTTTCAGATTTTTGATGCGAAATCGGGTCATGTTGATGTCTCGTTTCCGTTTCTTCTTGTTATCCTGGTCAGTGCTGGAGGAGCAGGAGGTGACGACGGTGGTGGTTTGCCCGACAGGTTGCTGATTTTAATATTACTTTCTTTTTATTTTGTTCTTTTAATTTTGTTGTTGCTCGCAAATCCATTCACACTTTCTCAACTCTATAGTATTTAGTACTGCTTTAGTATCACTGATATATCAGCATTGTTGTTGACTTAGTCCAAATCTGAGCTGCATTGTATTGTTTTAATTTGTACACATTTTGTATTTACACCTGACGACTCAGTCTGTTCAGCATTTTCACAACAATATTCTTGTGTAATCAGAAGAATCAAGCCATAAAAAAACAAATGCAGAATTCAAGGTTTGCTTTGGCTGTTGAATTAAAAATATGTACTTTAAACAATAGACTAAATTGTTGAGAAGCTCAATCAAAAATTGACAGCAAGCCGAAAAGAGATAGACAGACAGAGAGACAGAGAGACAGACGGACAGAGAGTCAGTCAGACAGGCAAAGCAACTATGAACAACATTTACAATTACTTTCGACAAAAGTTCTATAGACAACAATAGACATAATGCAGCAATAACGACTACACAAACACAAATACTTCAATTCAAAAACGTGGCGCTATTGCGCCAGATAGAGATAGATAGTGGGGCAGAGAGTGAGAGAGCAAATGATGGGCGGAAATGATGGAAGAGACGCCAACAGCAAACACTGAATAACATAAAAAACTTTTTCATTTACAATTTGCTCACTGGGTCTATGGACATGCATCCAACGAGGCAACAACAACAACAACAACAACAGCTGCAACAACAACGACTAACAAGAAAATGTTGAAAAGTTTTAGTGAATGCGAAAAGTTGTCGCTTTTTCTGTTGTTGCTTTTTTTTTGTTGTCGCGACTTGCTGCGGTTATTGTGTTGTGGCAAGATTTAAATATTATTGTTGTTGCAGTTGTTGTTAGCCACACTTAGAAAAAAATGTTCTAAAAATTTTAGTAAATTGACATAACAAATAGAAAGTTTTTCTTCTTTTGAGAAATAATTTCTAAATATTAGAGAACAATTTGAAAAATTTAGAAAGGCTTTTTCTTTTACTTCTTTTATTTTCTTTTAATTATTTTTGATATTATAAACTAAATTCACCCAAATCCAAATCGAACAATTTAGTTGACAAAGTGTGGCGATTTACTAAAATTAAAGTCGAGTTTTTGTCTGAGTGCTGTCGCAACAATGAGTAGCACAGTAGCACAATGAGTAGTGACAGCATGGCGTATGCGCAATATGCAACGCAGTCAAATTAATTCACTTTGCTGCGCTTTTTTATCTAGCAAATCGCTCGCAAATGTTGACAGAATCAATAAAAATATAATTTGCTGTGATTCGGCTCAAGGGAAGGCGAATAACTCAAGCAGAGCAGGCGAGGGAAGCAAACACTTCTCTGCACAATCATGTAAACAAACAAGCGAAAGGCGCCAGACGGGGTGGACTGAGGACGGAGGACACAGAACAGGCAAATGCGGCATGCGGCATGCGTCTCGTAGAGCGTTAAAAATTATTGCCAAACAACAACAAAAGCAACAACGACAACAAACAACGTTGATCATACAGATACAGACATGTTGCAGTCAATCACGAGCGGGTGCGAGTGCACAGGCGACGAAAGTTCCCAGTCAACGAAGCAAACGTAGTCAAACACAGTGCCACACACACACACACACACAAAATTGCACTACACTTTAGAAAATTGCCCTGAGAACTGCACAGTTTTTTTTGGTTTTAGAAGGAATTGTTAAACATAAGAATCAAATTTCTAAAAATAAAAATAGACTTACCCTAAATCTAAATCTAAAATGAATTGCTAAAAAGAAAAGAGAAGTAGCACTCATTTCAAAAAAAATTTCCTTTCAAAAATTCAGAAACAAGTAATGAAATATTCTGGCTCGACTTTTATATTTGCATTTAGGTCGAATCGCCGTAAATCGCATGTTTTTCGAAATAATTTATCTGAATTTATAAACTCTCTAAAATCTGTTTATATGTGAAATCTTAAAATACTAATGCTTATTAATAATATAAGCTACAAAATAGCTAATTTTCAAGTTGGTTTCTATACAACATTTTTCTAAATTTTTCAAAACTCCTAACTGAAATTTGGAAAAGAAAAACACCAATATTTAGAAATAAGCTTACTGAATAATAAATTGAGTAACCCTTAGCGATTTATTAAAAATCAGCTCGATTTTTGTTGAGTGTATATAGACGCAGTCACAGATTCACACACACACATAGAACAAGACAGACAAACACGGGGCGTAGTTAAGAGGAAGGAAACTGCAAGGCGCGAAGGCGTTTTGTGCATTTCCCTTGTTGTTTCTGCTTGAAATGATTTTTTTCGCTGCTGCTGCCTCTCTATGTTGCTCCATGGAACATAACGAGCCGCACATACAACGCAATAACATTTTTTTTTATTTTTTAGTTTTTTTCCGCTTTTTTTATTTTTTTGTACATCATGTCGGCCGTTTGAGTTGCGCACGTTGTCAGAGCGTCGTTTGCTTTTGAGCCAAAAGTGTTGCCATAACGAGCGTAAAATGGCGGCAAAAGAACGTTGAGCATCAGTATGAGGAGAGGGACGGGGTACGTGTGGCACACTGGTAAAGACAACAAGCGTCGCGTTCTAAAACAAACACGGTCCATCGTTGCCAACGTTGCCCCCAACCCATTTGGAAAAAAAATAACGAAGTAAAAATTGAAACTAAAATAAAGCCATGTTTGCATCACAAATTGTTACATGCCCCAAACCCCAACCGAGTGCAGACTTGTGCACCTTTGACTGAAATTGTATTTATTTAAAGTTGCCAGTTGTTGCATAAGTTAATGCAACTGAACTAAAAAGTCATTGCCAGAGTAACCGTTGCCAAGGCAACTTTCCATTTGCCACAAATTTTGTATGATTTTAAACACATTGAAATGTGAAATTGTACAACAGAAAATCAACTCAACTCTGCAGCTGTGTCAATTGAGTTTGGCTTTTGAGTGCGAACTCCAGCTGTGAATTCAAATAACTCTCTCTTACTCTACCCAATTTCTCTGACCAAAAACAAGGCCAATAAATATACCACAAATTGTAATGCAGCTCAGTGTCTGGTGGAGAATTAGCAACTGTATTGGACATTGTTATTGAGTTTGGCTCCGAAGTTTTTGGTGCAAAGATAAAATGCCAAACCACATGCCATTTACATGCCGACCAAAATTCGATTTCAATTGAATTTGAAATTGGAATTGAAATTCCTCTTCAGCAAAGTTCAACACACTAAAGAAAAGCAGCAAATAAGGGCATTCAACAATGCCACATTCTCTGCTTGCCACAGGCAACTGACTGCATTTGCCACATCATTTGCTGAGGTGCATAAATATAGTTGTCGTTGTCGCTATTGCAGTTGCAAGATCTAATTAAGCCCCTGTCAGCGTCTCATAAAACTTGTTTTCGCGTTGACTGACTGTCTGACTGACTGCCAACAAATTACAAGAAAACTTGAACATCTCACATTGCACTGACTTTTACTTAATTAACTGCGACCTACTCACGACTATCACACACAGTCCCCAAGCATGAGTTATGATAGTTCGACTTCGAGAAATTCCCTACTTTCATTGAAGATTTATTCGGTAAGCGCAGATATCCAAAGCTTAAATAGTATATTTTTAATACGCTCTTTAAAGAAAAGGCGCACAGATCTTAGAAATTCACCAAAAAAATGAAAATCGGCCTCAAAAGTAGAAATTTTTTCTTGCTTTTAGAAAATTTCTCAAGATTATATTTCGTATTTTCTTAATTCAAAATAGATGCTTTCAAAAAGCTTATAATTACATTTGGCAAATCTAATAAATTTGTATTAAACTCACTGCAAAACAAACACGTGCACCAGGCAATTCGGAAGTGAGAATTCGCCTTAAATAGTTGAAGTTGAAGGCTGTCAGTTTATGGCTTTCAAGTCACCGCTTAAAGTACAGAGAACTCTGCTTAAACCAGAACTGGATAAGTACTAAACATTAGTAACTGGCAGGTAATTTTTGTTGCTGTCTGTCAAGAGTTCGCAATCTCTGTCTCATACATAATGCAGTGCGAGTTTTATTGTTTCTGAAATCTGCAAATGAATCATTTGAGGGTTGCCATCTCCCCTTGACATAGGCAGAAGCTGTGCCGGCATCATCCTGACACTTTCAGTCAGTATCTTGTTTCCCTTATTAATTAACTTGATTCAATGGAAAAACACATCACAATTTAAATGAACACATTAGAATAACAAAGCAAGAAATGCTTACATAACATGAAAATTAAATTGAGCAAGTGATATCTCAATTCATAAATAGAATATTCTTTTTAGTTTTCTGATTTAGTTTTAGAAACGCCGCTTGATAGTCTGATGTGTTATGTTAATTGTAGCTTTGCTATCATTTGGTGGTAATTTATTTATTTTCAGCTTACGTGACGTTTACGTTTATTTATTAATCATATATACCATATATTATTTATCACATATATTTTGTTGATCAAATTTTAGTATGAGTTTTTATAATAAAGATAAATAAAAAATATGTTTTTTAAAATTAAACTAAGCAACTGGAATCTGACTTCATAAATAGAATACTCCGATAGTACGATGTCATTGAACAGACATAATTTATGAGTATCGTTTTTAGACGCTATGTCGCTACTTTCAATCCGTGTGAAATGAGTCAGCTGCCATTTATTGGAGCAATCGATCGATTTGTAAACGAAATAAACTATTTTAATTGCCACTAGAAACCTTTTACAGGTTTACAGTTTGAACTTTTCATTATCGATTTGGAGTAAATGCCAAGAGGCACGTGCCAATTAATATGATTTTAAGCTGCGATTACGCAAATCGTATTTTATTTTTTTTTCGAGATGTCCTTACAAGTTAGTGTGTTTGCGACGAGTTTCGGTTTATCGATCGTATCATTAATAAATGTCACAGTAAGGCAGCTAGTTCAGACCAGGCTCTAGTTCTACACTTATAGAAAATTCCTCCAAAATTGTAGTAAATCGCCAAAGATTTCTCGGAAAGTAGAAAGTAAATTTCTGAAATTTATTTATTTAATTTTTAGAATTTTTAATTTATTCATTTAATTTCTCCCATTTAATTTTATATCTCCTTTGAAGCACCTTCTTTAAATATTTAATTAAAAGCTAAACTATTTAATATCCAATAATTCGACTTTGGCAGAAAGTAAATTTCTAAATTTTGTGCTTGATGCTTCAAAAAACAAGACTTTGCATTTCTAATTTCTCAAATGTGGAAAAAATGAGTGTAATTTTGAG